TGTGCCTACAACAGTTTAAAATTTGAAATTATTATATAATAAATTAGTATAGAATGTTCCATGATGTAATGGTCAAGCTCACGGATTCGTGTGGACGGGATTATGAGTTCGAACCCCGCTGTAGACAACCTGACATCGTGCAGTAGGGAAGTCCTTTCTCACTTGGAAATATAACTGAAAAAAAAAGTTTTCAATTGAAATTAGCCTAGTTTGGGCACTGCGGTGTGAAATGGCAATGGAAAGTCTCTCACACTATTCTTTCCTGAATTGAGTTGGAGTTCAACTCCCTCACGGGCCTTTCCTTAGGTCGTCTCTTATATATAAAAATGGAGCACGGTATGCTAAAACTCTTAAAACGGCTGAACCGATTTGGCCAGTCTTAGTCTTGCAAAATTCGTGCTAATCCAGAGGTTGCGGGAAAAATGAGATACACTTCAAAACCGTGAAAAAACTTTACATTTTTAATTTAAATTTTTTTGTGAAACAATGGACGGCGGCTCATACGTCAAAAGTCAAATGGTTTTGACAGATTATGTTCAATTACATTAAATCGGATATTTTTCTTTATTTTATCTATATTGTTAATATAAATTATATAATAATGAACAAGTATACTTTAGTAGTAAAATAAAGTTTTATTTTTTTTGATTCTCTAGAAATTGTTTATAAATACTCAACTGACAATTAGCAAAACAATGTTAGTTGGGCCAGATGGTAATATATATTTTTATGGACTCGACGTACGTAGCTTTATTATGTTCTATATTATTTTATACGGTGTTTTATGTGTCTTTATGTGAAACAAGTCAAAATATTATATTGCTTTGAAATTATTGAAGAAACTATTAAAATAGATTCACAATATTATAATAGAATTTTAACTTTTTATTACAGTTTAATTAATTGTAAAATTTTTGCAATTATGCACTAGATTTTGTGACACTGCACTTGACATTGCAATCGAAATTTCTCTCACAATAACTGTTGTAATGCATTTCAATGAAGACATAAATATCCTAAAGTTGTAACTGGTTAAAAACAACTAAATAATAAAATCATTTATGTTGATGAACGCGCACATGCGCCGGAAACGAGCTTTGGTCTTGCTTCCGGTATGCGCCGGAAATAGTGTTCTCAGAAAACCTTTGACAGCTCCGTCGGTGCGCTCTTAACGCCAATGATAAATTTTCAAGGAAATTACTTGTTAAGAAGCCGGAATGGTAGAAAATTGTAATTATTTAACATGTTACTAACTTTCCGGAGTTTATTTAAGTATGTTTTTGCCAGAAAATCCGATTTTCTAATTTTGTGTTTTCTTGGCTTTTCAAGTTATTCTGTCACCAAATTTGGTAAACGTATGTGTGGATATGAGCCAAAATTTGAGCTTTCATTGGCGCTTTTTCGAAAATCGGTATGGATTTGCATTGATTAGCTATTACTTTATAATAATTTAATAAGTGCGAAAATTTTCATCCAGGTTTTAGATAAAATACTGCACGATTTTAAAAATTCAAAAACTGTTTAAAAGATAAATATTAAATATCTTATCTAACTAATGTTGGGGATTGGCCAACCCGACCCTGAAAAAAAGAAAATTTTGACGAGTTTGACAGAACTTTTTAGTGGCAGAATTTACAGTTTTAAAGTTCATCTTGAAATATCATGACACATGGTTCAATTTAAAATTTTCAAAAAAAGTTGGAATAATGGCCCGTTCAATTTCAATTTTTTATAGTCGCAATTTAAAAGTTGCTGAATATAAATTCGATTAAACTTGGGAACCGTATCAAAAATAACATTTCTAGAGCCGCAGTCAAAAACTAGCGGGGTGCATGGCATCGTGCCTTAAGGCAAATTGCTGGAACTTCCCGTACCGTAATTAAAAATGTTAGTTTGAAACCCAAAAAAAATTACACAAAATGTGTACCATAATCTGATAATTTGATGTGCATAAGTCCAATAAATATTTTTAACCGCCAAATGACATTTTTTTAACCTACTTTTATTGAGAGTTTATAGCCGCTGGACCTGCCTTTCCAAAAATGTAATCAGTTCTTCATCTTGTTAATACAAGTAAAATGTTTTTCGAATTATTAACACCGGACGCTCCGTTCTCTCAAAAACTGAGTTACCGTTTTTGGTACTTTTTGCCCCGTACCTTCGGAGCGGCCAGACCTGTTTTTGCCAAAAACTAATCAGCACGTCTCCTTATCAATACGAATCGAATGTTTTTTTAATTATTCCAACCAGTTAATCCAACTTGCCCTACGGGAAGTTAATAATAGCATAGTCGTAAGTCTAAATTTTCTAGATTTGTTTGTTGGAAAAGATTTATTTATTCAATAATATATTATATAAAGGAAATGTGAGTAATGGGGATTTTTCATATCTACCTTATGATAATAGTACAATTCATTATTAAGTAATCATTTGAAACATATTGATAATACAAATTAAATAAATTAAAGGAATAATGTAAAAAAATTACAAAAACCATATTATAATGTTAATTCATGGAGGTGATCGGTAGGTTGTAATGTAAATTTTCTAGAACTAAGACTGATAATTTTAGAATTTAAGAATTTCAAAAAATGTTGACTGGAAAATGTACCTAAAAAATGCTTTAGCAAGTGCCGTTGAAAGTTTGCGTATTCAATCAGGATTATAAAATGATTTAATACATGTTAGTTTCATACTAAAAAAAATAGCAAAAAAATAAAAAGCCTTTTTTTGCAAACCCATTTTACACATCATTAGTTGAAATGCATTTTATTCGCACAAGCTCGTTTCTTGCTTTTTTTTCAAATGCCCATAATTTTCTAACTGGGTGGGATTGACTTTTTCTGATTTTTCCTCACGATGGTTACAAAAAATCCAAAAATCATCTCGTTTCGGCTTGATGTTGACTTCTGTGATACCATATTATATATGCGCTTTTTATAACAATAATTTTCATGCAAGTATAAAATTTCTTAATTTATTTTTGCCTTTAAAATATTCACTTTTTATCATTTTCATTATAAATAATTTAACAAATTACTTATAAGCGCTGAGAATTCATTCGAACAAAAAAGAACAAATCTAAATAAAGCAATTCACCTTGTGCCTGTCACATAATACTTTTTACTTCAGATCACTGTATGGATTAAAATTTTTCTAACATTTTTCCTCGAGCGTTTCCACACTTTATGTAAGATTACGTTAGTGACCGGTTTATTAATG